TGCAGAAGCTGCCCCCTGGTAGTCAGTGTGCTCCCATAGGGAAAGCGCCGCTCAGCCATAGCTGGGTTCAAGGCTGGTGAGTCCAGCGGTGGTGACGGGAGCCTTTCCCACCTCAGCGGCAGAGCTAAGGATGTCTGACTGCTGGATTAGGCCTACTCCCTGCCATCAGTCAGACATCCCCCAAGGGCTCCCAGACTGCGAGAGGGTGTAGGCCATACTGAGGGACCTCCCCCTTCGAGTGCACAAATTTCATGCACTGGGCCTCTAGTAGTCTATAAAATCTTCCTGAAGAGCAGGGGATGTAAAGTTTGAAATATTTGTACATGTTGTCCGGGTTGAATGTTAATCAAAGGGAAGAGCCCCAAGTAAACATGCAAATTCATAACAGAACCAAAGTTGTTATGGGTTTGTGCAACAGCATATAATTCTGACTGGCTGACCTTGAGCATGTGGAAAGAAGTAGTACTGGAAGAGGGAGTGGAGGAAGACATGGAGAGTCTTTGGTCACAGTAAAGTGCTTGGACTCTTTGTAGAGGATCCTGGAGCATTTTAAATAGAAAGTAAAAATGATACATATGGACTTGTTTGCACAGAACAAATCTCCTCAGTGGAACTCTAAGTTCTTTGTCCCTTCTTGTGTCCTCAGGCAACAGAGGTCTTCCAACGCTTCCTGACATCACAAGTGTCAATAGAGAAATCCATCCTGCAGGCAGATAAAGCCCTGACCCAAGGGGAGAAGGCCATAACAGGTATGGGGCATGATGCAACTCTCAGTGTGGTGGCATTTTATGCAGTGCTCTCTGACAGATCACATTAAAATCTTTCCAAAACAACAAATTTTTCCTTCTGTGGAATTTACTTTTTGCCAAATCTGAACATAACAAGCAGAGTGTGGTTGTATATCAACCAGACAGTCAAGGTCTTTTCCATTACATTATCAAACCTGCTCTTGATGATGTAGCCATTGGGTGAAATCAGAGATTCCTCATCTCTTTCAAATTTGATTTGTTCTCTGATCTTACTGACCACCAGGGGGCAGATGCTCAATGCAAAAGCTGTCCCCAGCCCTCAGGTCCCAGGCCAGCCAAGGCGGGTGCCAGCTGGAGCCACCCCCCCGGTCACCCCACAGATCAGCCCTGATTGCCTAGGGACCCTACCCGTGCACAAATTTTGTGCACCAGGCCTCTAGTCCTATATAAGAAAAGGCTAATATGCAAATCAACCAAACAGTGGAAC